TTGCCTTTGCGCTGTCCTCAGGAAAAGGCATAATACTCAGCTTTGAAATTAGTTTCTATCATTTCTAATTTTTTCTTTGTTTTTATTACGTATGTGATGTTTTCTTTTGATCTTTCCCCCCCGTTATCCATTTTGTGGGTTTCAGAAAAGGCTGCGTAGAAACAGCTAAAATAAATTCAGTGAATATGATTTTTAAAAAGTTCTCTGTCGGTAACTTCTCAAAGGGGAGAGGTAATTATTCTAAGTGTCCCCAATGGAGGCATTTAAAAATGCCTGTGAAAGAAGATTTCATGTTAATCACCACCTTGGTATTGACCTTTCCTGCTCTGGATAGGACAGGGCCCTCATGTATGGCAGCTGTGAGCAGATGTCAAGCTCACAGGATCTACTAAGATGTTGTTTTTTTAAAGCTAGGTGGTTTTTAAAAACTTAAAATCCAGGGAACCACCAGTTAGAGGACGGTGTCAAAGAGCTGCCTGAACCAAACATTTAGAACTAAAGAATTCTGAGCCCATATCACGTTTTCCCACATTTCCGTCAATTCAACAGGACAGTTGAGGGGAAGATGGATATTTTTCCTGCTTGCTGTTGTTAAACCAGGCATCAGTAGATCCTTTTTAAAAATCCTATGCAAATCACTCTGAGATCTTCCAGTAGACCTTGACCTACTTTCTACCCACATCTGATTGTATAGTATTCTGAGTGCTTTCATGAAGAAAGGAACAGAAATGAAGCAATTTAAAAAAAAGAAATCTGACTGTCGGTTCAGAGGTAGGAGTGGTCATATTAAAATCCCTCAAATAGTCAGACCTAACCTATTGCATTCTAGCAGAAGAAAACTATGGCTGTGTCATTTTTTTTCCTACCAAGGCAATCTTGTGAAGCTGTCAAGGAAAACTGTGTTGCTGCAGAAAATGGTGTGCATACTCGGTTTAGATGAAGCGTTTTGTCTATTCTTTGTGCACTGAAACTGTCCCCGGAGCATAGGATCAGCACAGGGCAGAAGACTGACAGGCTGGCTAGGCAAGCTGTCATTCTTCACAGCTGCTTCACTGCCACATTTGCTCTTCTTGCTAAAGGAGAAGCCACTTGCTTCTTCACCATGGAAAAGTCTAATAATTCTTCCTTAGCTTTCCCTGCACAACCTTCTAATGAAACTGTTCTGGTTCTTGTTACCTGTTGAGCAAGTCTACACATCACACATGTCTAACTGCTGGACGCAAACCCCCTGTGGTGTCTACTCCCGTATTTTCTCTTTCTGAAAGTTAACACCAGCCTGCGTAATCTTGGAGGTGTGTGTGTCTGTGTGTGTTTTGGGGGTAGGGTGGAAGAATTGAAGAAACAGACTCCATTAGCACGACAAAGATCTCACTAGAGACAGAAGGGACACAAAAGCGACTCTGTCAACTGCAGCACAAAATGTCACCAAAACACAGAACTAGTGTATTTTTTAAAAAAACTTGACTTTGGCACCCTCCTGATGGAGAGAGACCTTTCATCACACAAAGGCCAGCTTGCCTTCCAGAGGAAGCCTGAAAAGGGCAACTCGGCTGGATGGACAGCTGCCACCAATTTGCTTTAGGTAACCCACTCATCTTACAAGAATGTATTTCTCATCTTCACAGAAGGGGGAATAATTCATAAAACACCATGGGTGAGAGAGAGGAGAGAGAGAGTTTAGATGTCTCACTGGCTTGATTCCCTAAGGTCCCTGACCTGATCGAGGCATCTCACTCTTTAAGCAACAGAAAGAATAGGGGAAGGAAGAGAACAGCTAAGGGTATAGCTGTGCTACAGCAATGGAGTCCAGCTGTCCAGCCCATATGGAATTGGTTTTTAAACAAGTCCCTCTGAAAATCATTGGCTGGGCAGGTAAACGAAACCTTAACAATTAACAGTGTGGTCTATGCATATTTCCTCAGAATTGGGTCCCGCTGTGTCCACTGAAGGTTACTTCTAAGTAAGTGTGCACAGGACAGTACCCTAAATGTATTAATTTGAAAGTCATATCCTTTATACCTATAATAAAACTCCACAGAACATACCCAAAGTAGCTTCATTCATGTTTCCAGATGAACTACATAACAATTACTGTGCAGGAGAGGCCCCCCACGAAGATGGCTCAGCAGGACTTTCTCTGCTGCAGAGATATCATAGACCCTGATGAGCTGGTCTATGGTCCAGCCTGAGGAAGAATAATCTGTACATCATCTGGAGTTTGAGGTTGCACCACCTCGGTTGTTCCTCTGAGGCCAAGACTTTTGATGCCTCATAAGGAGCCAATATCCAGAAGTTCATCACATCCCTTAAATGTTCAGGGCTGCTCACTCTCTTATCAGCTCCCAATAAAGGAGACAGAGTAGACCCAGTCCTTGATATTTTATTGCCCAAGTGGAGGTAGCAAATGTTGCCTCTCAGTGTTTTGTCAAGTTGGAACTGACTTAAAGTGACCTTAACAGGGTTTTGAAGGCAACCAAGATGTTTAAGGAGTGGTTTTACCAGTTTCACTCCCCCGTGAGTTTCCATGGCCAAGTGGAGATTTGAACCCTGATCTCCAGAGTCCTAGTCAATCACTCTGTCCACTGGACCCCACTGGGCTTTGACACATGGGGGAAAAAAGGTGCCACTTCTGCCAATCCCTGGCAGGAAAATTATGAAAATGTAAATAGTGGAATAGCTTGTTGCCTTCCCATGAGGCCTACAAACTATAGTATGAGGCAGCTGCTTCAGGAAGAAGTGGCCGCTGCCCTTGGATGCTGGATGACTAGCCAGAGTTCAGGGCAAAATGTTGCCTTTTCAAGTTCTTGTTCATACACACTTATGAGTGGGGCTTGGAAACTATTTTGTCCTTCATTTTTCTACTTTAAGTAGCAACTGGGGTGGGGGAGAGTCAATAAGTTAGGCCTGCAGGGTAACATCACTCAGAAGAAAATTGGTGCTACGGAAAGCTTGTCCCTTAATGCCATCAGTAGCACTGGAAACTGAGTATTTTCATGAAGACTGCCCAGGGCAACCAACAAGAGAGCACTAAGCATATGGTCACCACCATCTCCAGCCAGTTTCCACCCGATGGGGATGGAGGGGGCTTCTTTTGATGAAGCTATTTAAGAAAGTATTTTCCTCTTCTCCCTACCACTCTATGTGCGGTTTCGGCCTTGCTTTCCCTGTGTCTCTGTGTCTAATGTGGATGTGAAACACCCGATTCCTTGAGGCAGGTAACAGCTGCAAGAGCTGGGCAATGGAAGTAAATATTTTCCAGTCTTAATTTTGTGTCTCCATATGGGAGTATGTTGAGAGACCATGTAACCTTCAAGCTATAGAACACCTACTAGCTTAGCAAGGTTGTTCAGCCTAATGGCTACAATTCTATGAAACCCAAGTGCACTGCTGAATGGCTGTACTGCACCCAAGGGAGGCTCCCCCTCCAGGACTAGAGGTGAATTATGTACATGTCAATGACTGGCACCTGGGTTTTGCTATGCCCTATAGCAACTCCATGGTTAGCTTTACTTTGCAGTCACATATGGTGTGTGAATTTAAAGGAAAACACATTGCCTTTCAAAGAAGTGTATTGTTTTCTCCAGTATTATTTTCTCAGATTTTGCAAGGCATCCAGTACAAGCACAGCTCTCTAGCAAAATGGTATGGCAATGTTGGGGGTTTATGCAAGCATAAATACATGTATTTCCACCCCCTGCTCCACACAAAGGTCTAAACATGCTAATCTGTTATAATTTTTGTGTATATTTCTATGTTTTTTATGCATCTGGAAGCCGCCTAGAGTGGTCGCAAGACCAGATGGGTGGGGTATAAAATAAATAAACAAACAGGGAACTACAGAAGAAGCCTTTGAGACTGCCAGTCTTTAAAGCAAATATGGGAGAGAAAGATAGGTTATTATAGTACCATGTTTCCCCAAAAATAAGACAGGGTATTATAATTAGTTTTGCTCAAAAAATGCATTAGAGCTTATTTTCAGGGGATGTTTTATTATTATTTTTCATGTACAACAATCTACATTTATTCAAATACAGTCATGTCATCTTCTGGTTGCTGCACAATGGTGGAGGGTGGGGTTTCACTTAACTAGGGCTTACTTTTGGGGAAGAGCTTATATTACGAGCATCCTGAAAAATCATACGAGGGCCTATGTTCAGGTTAGGTCTTATTTTCGGGGAAACAGGGTAGGTGAGAAAACTGAGATGGCAAGCATGGATGAAAGTCTTTACAGGATGGTCTGTATACAATGTTCAGCTGACAGCACAAACCCCTGTTCTGTAAAGAAGGATATATTCTACCTCTGTGAAAACCTTTATATAAATGTATGAGAAGTGGAGGAGTGGGCATTGTTATTATTTTTCTGTGAAAGGCTGCATTCCCTTAAAAATAACCTGTGACGGTCCATATACCAGTGATGGGCTGGCCAGAGCCCATATCATCCCTGCTCTCTGCTGCAGCTACCTTAGTTTCTCTCCCCTCTTACCTTTTCGAACTACAGGTCCCAGAATCCCCCAGGCAGCATGGCCACGGGACAATTATGCTAGATGGCAAAAATTATGACATGTGGTTTAGAGAAGTAATTTTTCCAAGCTCTGCTTCTTTCCACAGATGGGAAACATTTGTGTTTTTAGACTAAAGTTCCTAGAACCCTACAGGCAGCAAAGCCAATAATCATGCTGGGTGTAGGATGTTGGGAGTTGTTGTCTCAAAAGCTTCCAAACCTCTCAGATGAGCTGACTCCTGATGGGAGGTTTTTGGAACTGGCTGTCCAGGGGTTGTAGTTTTGCTGCATGCTCACTTTACAGCAAATTCTACTCACCGTTCTGGCCCAGTCTTCACTTTTGGAATTTTTTAAATTCAGGTGGTACAAAGAATGGAGGCAATAGAGGGGTTAGTATTTCAAAGGCCCTTATATTTAAAAAATAATCTCACAGTGTCCTTCCACTCATTCTGAAGCAAAAAGGAAACAGGAATGTTAGCTGACACACCAAGAAACCCCCTCAGTGGGCTCAAAGTGCACCCTGCTTCCATCTGGCAGCAGGAGAGCAGAATTTTATGGACCTGTTGCCAAAAGAAAAATCAAACCTGGTTCAAGGCATAAGGCTTCCCCGAAAAAGAAAGATGACATAGGAGCATGGTGTTTTTTCCCCCTAGCGAATCACTATAATTGAAGTAATATTTCATAAACATTCAAGAGCTCTATGAAGAGAAGCTTTAATATGATCAAACAAATCATGATGCATGAGCACCCTCATTAAGGGAGAGGGGATTACAGTTGAGTGAATATACACTGTATGGCATGTGGAAGCCTGGGGTTCCACTGAAAAGGTTGTGGGAAAGAGTCAAGAATGCTTAACCAGTTCTTGAAACCTTAAAAAAACCCACCCAACTATAAACAGAAGTTGCTGCACTTTTGAGTGTTTACACTTTTCTCCAAGAAAAGGCAGCAGTTTGTGCAGACACTGAACTGATGTCTAGCAAAACTTGTCCCATTAACCACCACCCTATGCTGTGAAACTCACAGACAGCTTAATAATCTAACATAACAGACATTTTTACATTTTACGTGTTGAGGCGTCAGGTTCTGTTTCTCACTGGATCCTTTAAAAAAAAAAAACTTCATGAGCAGAAGAGTGTAAGGGCTGAGTCAATTCATGAGCCTTCTTGCCCCAAATAATGCTCAAAAGGCTTCCACGGACACAAGCAATCATGTTCTTTGTAGGATCCATGCTCAGCTATTTCCCCCCCTTGAGGGAACAGAAGCAGCTGCAATATTCAAAGCTAATTATCTTGATGATTTGCTAGGTTTTCTTCTTGAGTGTTAAAAAATTAAAAATTAAAGAGAAAATTGGAAAGTTGTATGTGTATGGGTGGGAGTGAATGCATTTATGAGGAAAACAGTTGCTAAGACAAAAGCCGAACGCAGAATGGGCTCCCAGGTCTGCTTCGGCATTTGAAAAGGACCGTGGAGTTGCTAACAGTCTTTCCCTCCCAGGGCTGGTTCTTCAGTGCAGCAGTGGAACGCGAACCTTCCACTGAAGGGATCCTCACTCCCGCAGCGCTGGGCATGATCCGGTGGGGACAGCACAGCAGATGTCACGGTCTTCATCTGTGCACTGCAGTCAGGCTTCTGTGGTTTGGGGTCAGGATTATTGTTTGGGCATGGCAAAATCCCAAGCAGTCTCTTGCGCGCACTTCCACATGGCCCTCATGAGCCGGGTAAACCCCATGTCTTTGGGCTTTTCCAAGCCTCTCATAAGCCTCTGCTTCATAATGGCCACAAACTCCTTGTTGCTCAGTTCACCATTGCCTGATGGAAAAAGGGAGAAAACAATTAAGTTATTTTGGAAGGTGCGGTGGGGCGGGGCCGGACCGGGGGGGGGGCGGCAAGGATAAAATGTTCCCAGAAATTTCAAAAAGCAGCTGCCAAAGGAGCTTAAAGTAGAATTAGCTTAGGGCTTATCTATATTAACACCACGCCAGGACATTTATCTTACTTTAATATGCTTTCTAGGTACTATGTACTTGTGATGTCTCCACAAGCCACAGTAAGACTGCTATAGCTCTTAACATCTCCTTGCACTGATAGGGGAAGGGCAACTATTCAGTGTAACCAATGACCTCTACCAGAAATCTGCAGCTGTTTGTCATTTTATACACACCCTGGTATTTATTATTAGTCATCCCCCCACCCCATCTTCCTCCAGTGACCTCATGGGATTTTACAAAGCTATTATTCTCCCTTCTTTTCCCTCACAAAAATGCTATGGAATTGATTAGGCTCAGAGACAAGGGCTAAAACCCTACTGCTTTAGGTGTAGCATAAAATTACTCCTGTGGAAGTTCATAGGATGTTATGCCCAGCAGTCTACACTGAGTGCCTGACTGCCAAGTTTACTATGCTGCTAGTTGCTCTATGAACCTGTGGAATTGCTTGTTAGATACAACTAACATCTTGGTACAAATTTCGCAACTGATTGTGCAATTTTGAGTTATGCAGGAATGGCTACACAACAGGATTTCAGCCACTGACTAGCCCATGGTCAACTAGTGCATTTCATGGCTCAGGAAGGTGGAGACCTCAAACACCTAAAACTGCACACCAGCATTCCAGATGCGATACCACTCTGGCTCCTTATGCCACTCCCACTCCCTCCCAGTTTGCTTTCATTCACTAACTACCCTTCCGATCTAAAAGACATTTACTCAACTACTCTGGCTTTTAAAATTCTCATTTGTGTCATGCAGTCATGCTATTCTTGTTCCCAGTAAGGAGGGAATAGCTTTGCTAAGAATGACATGCTCAGAGCCCCAGTCCAGTAATCCTTCTATATGTGGGCTCTGGAAAAAAAAAGAAATGCATGAGAAAATAGGTGTGCTAAGAAAGGTCAAGGAGATACTGTCCTTTTAAAAACTGCTTAATTCTGTGCATTCACATACTTATATGTAGGCAAGTCCTTCAGAAGAAGATATGCCCTGTAAACAGGGAAATAATGTTATTTCACAAAAGTTAGGTAAAGGAAAAGATTCCCCTTAACATTTAGTCCAGTTGTGTCCAACTCTAGAGCATGGTGCTCATCCCTGTTTCCAAGCCATAGAGCCAGTGTTTGTCCGTAGACAGTTTCCGTGGTCAAGTGGCCAACGTGACTAAACACGGAACGCCATTACGTTTCCACTGTGGTAGCACCTATTTATTTAGTTGCATTTTTACATGCTTACTAACTGCTAGGTTGGCAGGAGCTGGGACAAGTGATGGGAGCTCACTCCGTCACGTGGATTCGATCTTATGACTGCTGGTCTTCTGACCTTGCAGCACAGAGGCTTCTGCGGTTTAACCTGCAGTGCCACCACGTCCCTCACAAAAGTTACTCTAAGGCAAAATCTAGAATATTAACAGCCCATTGCGTCCACTGCAAATAACTAGGCTAACTGTGAGTGCACAAGACCAATGCCTGATTTATTTTCCTCTTCTTCATCTTCTAACACCTTAAAAACAGATGCAATTTCTGACTAGGCTAAAGCTTCAGGTAACTTCAGTCACTTATAATCCTGTTTTTGTTGCCCACATCATAAGAGATTACCATGTAATGCTTAGAAGATTGTAAATACAATGAATAATCTATGTTTAGCAATTCTATAATCCAGACCCAGCCTGTTTCTTGAAAGGAAAGGCAGAATGGGAAGAAAGTGTCTTTTGCAATCTAAGACTGTGTATCAAAAAGTCTATTAAACTAGAAATTTCATGACCTTTCAACAGCAGCTGTGGCACAGTTGGTGTTACCTCAGCATAGCTCTTAGCTGGAATTAAGCCTGAGAATCTCACATTCAAAAATTATTTTCCCCTTCATACATATATAATACAGTATTTTAAAGACAGCATACTGAGCAAAACAGTTGCACATATCTTTGATAGCATTTGTTACTTTTTCCGAATTATAATTCTGTTTCCTATGGGGGATTTTCGTTTAACGACGATTAGGTCTGTGCTTTGCAAACCGATTGTTCGCAAGACGACGATTTAAAACAGTTGATCGGTAGTTTGCAAAATGGCTCCCCGCTGTTTTCCGGACCGATTTTCACAAGACAGCGATCGCAAAATGGCCGCCCTATGGAGGATCATCGCAGGACGATCAGGTATTTTCCCCACTGGAATGCATAATTTCTGGGTACTTACATCTCAGAGGACCTCTCATGGACTATAAATACCAACATGCTAATGAAGAAGGCATAGAAGAGGCTGTATTTCCTGAGAATGCTCGGCAAGTTAAATTTATCTCAGCATTTACTTCTGTCATACTATCGTAGCACCATTGAGAGTGTCCTAACCTATGGCATTCT